CTGGGGAATCAGGTTTGAATCTCTCAGTAGGGGAAAACAGCAGTGAAGAAGAGATGGCAAATAATTGCATCAGAACTGTAGAGAAGTCAGGCTGGAAGGAGCCTTCAGCAGTCAACTTCTCCAACCCTCTGCCTGAGGCAGGGTCATCTCTATCTGAACCATCCTATGCAAATCCACTTCAACCTCTTAGCAAAACTACACAGTCAACCCTGACGCAAACCCAGAGCATAATTCCCTAACCTGCCACGGGTAAGGCAGGGGGATTATGAAATCATTGTCCAGTTGTTGCAAGGCTGTTAATATACACTCCATTGACCCAAGGAAGAAGGCCATCCCCCTTGCTACACAGGAGAGCAAAATCTCTCACCATCCCATCCATACTAAGCCAACTATAGAGTAGAATTCCTTCCTGACCCCAAATATGACAATTGGTCTGACCCTGGGTGAAGGGGCCAGACCCTCTAGTCAGGAACCTGCAGCTTTAAGTCCCAGCAGGAGCACTGGCACAGCCCAGTCAAAATCCTTACCCTTGGTTGCAGCCAACACCCAATGCCTTTGAGGGCAAACAAACAAACTAAAAAACTCTGACACATGTAGGAGTGGTGGGAGGAAACTATTCCCTCCCCACCCAATGTGGATCAACAGAAGGACAGTTGCAGTTGAGGTTACCTGGTTATATGATGGCTCACCTATGAGAGGGAGAACATCACATTACCTGGACTTCAGCAATGTACATGTCTTCTCTCGCCCTCTGCACATCTTTTTGCTTCATCCCATCCCTGTGAATCTGGAAAGGAAGTGCTTTTCTGGTAGGGGGAGGCAGCTTACAATAGTGGTTAAGGCACAAGAGTAGGATGAAGAGGACCTAGATTCCTTTCCCAGCTGTATCATGGCCTGTTGTGTCAAATTGAGCCCATCCATTTGTCCTTCCATCCTCCTATTTCTCTCCCTGTTTGCCTGTCTTGTCTTTTTAGCTTGTAAGCTCTTCAGGTCACAGGCAGTCTCCTGCTATATTTTTTTTTTTACAGTGCCTACTATAATGAGCTCATTTTTCAGATGTGCTAGGTACTGTCATAATAAACAGAGCTCCATTATCACTGACTTTTCCCTCTTTATTTTATGCTGTCATGCGGGTGTTTTTCATAGTGTTTTGGGGATACTTTCTGTTCTCTCTGTGCCAGGGATTGCATGAATGTTGAAGTGCATCTAATTAAATAATTAAATAAAAACATTGTTTCTGCACTTCCACCAAAGGTGTTTGATTTAAGGGAAGGAGATCAGCAGGTGGTTCACAGAAAATCTCATTAGCCACTTTGATTGTTTCCGACACCTCTTAGAAAAACATGTCTCATTACCCAGAATATTTACATAGCTCCTGTCTTTGTACTGACTCTCCTATAGCAGAGCATTATAGAATACATGATTTAATTTCTTTAGCTTTAAACAGGCAAAACACAATTCCCGCTGGGTGACCAGACTCCATCTGCAAAATCTAATAATGTTAAATTTGATCTGGATTCCCATCTTCAGTATGCTGAATGTATAATTAACTTTGCAAGTCCATGTTTTTGAGCCCTCTGGGGAATTGGGTTTAAATCTTTCAGTGGAGAAACACAGCATTTACACAGTAAGGTCCCCATCTGGAAA